AAGAGCACATTTATTTTTTAAAAAATAAATGGTTAACATGATCTTAATAATTTTTTTAAAGCAATTTGAATCTGATCATGGGGTTATTGATTTTTGATTAACTTGATTTTTTTGTATGAATAATATACTTGACGAATCGTACAATATAAATAGTTTAGATTATCCAAAAAAATTCAGAAAAACCCCCATCGGGGCACCACAGATCCCTGCTATGACTTTAGTCACAACAGGATTCTCAAATCCGTTTAATTGACATTTGAAACAAAAATATTTTATTACCTAAAAAAGAAATTTTTATTCAATAAAGTGTCATTTATAATGTTTTTAGTGAGTTAATATATTTTTTTTGAAAATATTAAATGTATTAAAAAGGTAGTAAGTGAGGGTCAATTTTATAAAAATTGACTTACAAAATTTTTAAAAACAAATTATTTTTAGAAAAATGATACAAAAAATATTTTTACTTATTTGATCTTTTATCAAATAATAAAAAATAAATAAAATATAAATATTTTAACGTCAAAACAAATATTTTTTTAATAAGATTGCAATGGGTGCAAGGGTTGGGAAATCAGATCGCCTTAGGTGCCAACATGGCAACATTGGAGGTGAATAGGGGTGACGTAGGTGGCAAAATCCTATCAAGCCAAATCATGATCGGTAAAATGGAAAGTTTTGAGACGGTGCTGACGCAAAATTTTCTCATATTTTAAGTTTTTGAAAATATTTTTATAGTTAATATTTATGTAAAAATTATATTAAGAGTATGATTGGATTTGAAATCAAAATTATAGGTTTGATAAAGAAAATTCTTATCACTTATGCATTATTTATTTCACCAAAAAATATTTTTAAATAAAAAATATATTTCAAAGAATTTTTTTTTTTTTAGAAAATGTATTCCATAGAAATTTTTTTCCTATATTTGATCGTGGTAGTGATAGGATGGTGGTGGTGTGGTGTGGAGGTGATGGTGGTAATGACAATGTGATGGCATTAGTAGAAGTTTAGTTTGAAAAAAGTTTTTCACCTTTTAAAACTAGAAAACATTTTTCTCCTAAATAGGCTTATTTTTCATTGTCTTTTGTTTTCCGTCGCACTGAACTCGAGAAAATGTGAAAAATATTTTTTTAAAAATATTTTATGTTGAAGCAAATTGAGCATTAAGCTACACATACCATGTATGCATTTTTATTTGTTATTATTCTTATATTATTATTTTTGTTATTTTAAATTATCCACACATTGCGCATGCGGACATCTAATATTTATTCCATCCGCCTCAAAATATTAATCTATTTTGGAAATTTTAACTTTTTTTTTTAATAGTACAATTATTATATTTTAAAAACATTAACTTTTCAAAACTACCCTTTGGTAATACAATTATTATATTTCAAAAATATTAATTAATGTATTTTAAAAAAGGACAAAATAAAAAATTTATATTATTTTAATCATCGATTTTTGAAAAGGAACTTATATTTTGGGACAATAAAAAATAAAATAAGTGACTAATATTTTAAAACGTTGAAAATATATAGAAAGGAAATTATAAAAATATTTTAAAATTTAGATTAAATTAACAACTATAAATGATTTTTTTTAAATATGAATATTTGGTTAAAAACGACAGTCCAAGCTTTTTTCAATTTATAAGTTCCTTGAAGAAGTGCCTCTTTTATCAACAATAAACAAATTTGTTTCTATTTTTTTTTTTTTATAGATAATCTTACATTTAGTAACTACTTTCACATATCAAATTTTAAAATGATGTAACTTTTAATTTATATATTGGTTTCTAATAAATAAAATTAGTAATTTTAGTCTCGTCAAAATCTATTAAATAAGATCAATGTTTTTTTTGATCAGCAAAGAAAAATTTCATTAACAGCATGAAATCAAAGGTACAGGAAGATGACATGCATCGAGAGAGATTCGGAAAGTACACAATACCCCTACTACTGCTACTCGCATCCATACAACCAACCCCTTGGCCTCACGATTTTTTTTTTTTTAAAGCAAAAAAACAAAAAAAGTTAAGAAGGACTTAACTAAAAAATAAAATACAAGAATCCCTACAAAATAATCCCACAAAAACCCAAAACCAAATCCAAAACCCCACACCAAATCCAATGCTGCTTCACTCCCAACGCCACCTGCTATTTTTAAACAAAATCTTTCCCACCCACTTGCTACTTTTTAAAACTAAAGCTTTACACCTGTGTTGCTTCAACTCCCAACGCCCAACACCTGACAGCACCCAACACCCTACACCCACCTGCTGCACGCCCAACACCTACCTACCTGCTGCACGCTCCTTTGCACCACACCTCACCTATGCTGTTGAACCGACCGAGAAACTCCATAGCCACCCAAGACTCCGAGCACTCAATGCATCCAAACACACCCCAGGCCGATCAACCCAAACAACCCAAACACTCTTATGGTCGAAACACTGCCATCTCCACTTCTCCACTCCTATGGCCGAACAACCCAGCCACTGAAAACACACCACACATCTGGACGGCGTTCACCCCTCAAACTCCCATACGCATGGAAGCGCTCGAATGCTTCCCCCCGACCAAACACCGAAACTCCTCCATAGATCTGAACCGAGAACACCCCTCAAACTTCCATTCGCAAAGAAGCGTCCGAATGAGCAACCTAACCAGATCTGGATCATCCTCTTTACTGACCCAAAGAACAACCAAAAACGATCACCAAAACACCCCAAAAAACCAAACAAAAACTACGGCAGCCCCGCAAATAAGATCTATGTTGACTATGAATTGTTTTTAATTCTTGTTAAAACTAACATCAACTGTAAAATTTTACTATTTACTTCAAAAGTTATATCATTTTACTGTTTAAAATATTAAATTAGTCATTAAAAATATTTTGAAAATAGTGGTGTATGCCAGACTTTTCAAGATTTTTTTTTTTTTAATATTTGTCCTTAATCCATTAAAGTTTTATTATGAGTAAGTTTTAATCAAATCCTCCTTTTAAATAATATGTCATAACTATATGAATTGAAATATGAAAAAGTATTAAAATATAAAATTAATGACAAAAATAATTACCATGTTTGGTTACAGAAAATTGTATCCACTTTTTAGAAAATTGAGTTTTTTTATTTTTCATTATTTTTTTTTTGTTGTTTCTGGTGAATTTTTTATTTTTGTAAATACACTTAATCTAAATATGCTTAAAAAATCAATATTTGGGAACAAAAATTTAAAAAAATCACCAAATAAAAAAAATACAAAAAAAGAGAGCAAATTGGTGATAAATCTAATCTAAGGATTTCTTGAGGCGTGAGGTCCACTGAATAATTGTTTTTGGTGAAAAGTACAAGCTTTTATAAAATATTGTGGTGAGGAGTCCCTTTTGTTGGTTTCAATGACATTTTCTTTTCAATTGTAAACTTTTATGTGATTTTTTTTTTAATCTATCTGTTCATATTGTTCAAAAAAATCTATCTGTTGAAATTATTTGTTCAAAATTCCTATTTGTTAAAATTATCTGTTCAAAAATCTATCTATCTGTTCAAAACTCAACACACACACACACACTCTCTCTCTCTCTCTCCACAAATCCACTATCTATTCAAATCTTTTTCACTCTATTCTCTCTATTGTTCTTTCTCTCTTATATATTGAAATCTTTTTTTTAACAGATCTAAGTCTTTTGGATCTACTATGAGAAGAACTAGCACAAAACGAAAATCTCCAATCCATATCATTTCTCAAGAACCAAATAGAACAAAAGTGGATTAGATTTGAAGAAAAAAATAATAATAACTGGACAATAAATCCATCTCAAAGAAAGGTAGCAACTGTTAATCCAAACAAACAAAACAAAGAAACCGTTCTAAAATCCTATCAAACCACTCTCTTCTTTCTTTCTGAAACTGCCAAGATAAGTTTAGGGTCAAGCCAAGTTGATGTTTTTATTGCCAAAATAGCAGCGTGAAGAGAAAGACAGAGAAGATAAAGAGAGCAGAGAGACAGTTAGGGTTTCAAACGTTGATTGTTTGGCACGAGGATGATGTGAGAGAGATCATCTGATGGTGAAAAGTGATTTTAACAGATAGAGGCGTGGTTAAAACAAATAAAAAGGCGCGTGGATTTTGGGTAAAAGAAATATGGGTATTTTAGTTGTTTTGCCTAAGTTTGCTCTTTAAAAAAAAAAAAAATTGTACAAATTTTCTAATTTTTAAATATATTAAGATTGCGTGAATTTTAAAATAAAAAAAATTGACTAAATATATTTTTTTAAATCATTAGAAATATAAAAATACGAATTAAAAATTCAAAAAATTATTTTTGAAAATTGAAAACCAAACAAATTGAATCTTTCTATTCTTTCTTTCTTTTTTGAGTTTGATTCATCTATCTATATTAGGAAATGGCTGGACTTGGCATTGAAGTCTTTGTTCTTTATGTCATGTGTCGCTGTCTCTCATTTTTTTATTTAAAATAAAAAATTATAAAAAAATTAGATAAATAGAAAAAGTGGGACTCAAATCTTAAAATCTAGGTTCACCAAAGAATATTACTACTTGAGTGATACATAATATATAAATATTTGATTTTATTTTTACTTATTTGAATTGTACATGTATCGTGTATGCTAACCGCTAATATAATTTAGAGAATGACTTGTTTCAAGTTAAAATTTCAATTAAGTTAGACAGTCGGAATATTTTACCAGTCAAAATTCATGAACACCGGCCTCTTATGAGTCAAAATTAATGAAAATATTTAACTGAACTAAGAGGTAGAATAATAGATCAATGAATTTCATTAATTCTTATTGATAAAAAAATCCCAATTATCTAGTTTAATTTAACTTTCAATTGAAGAGATCATTTGGTATAATTTTATATGAAGTTTGAACAACAGTTGAAATCCCCTTGTGAAGAGCTAATGAAAATATCAAAACTAGAGCAGTACTTTGGCTGAAAGCATCTATTAAAGATCAGTTGCGATTGTGGAATGGGGGTAGGGAGGGAGGAGTGTGTAGGAGAATCCCAGGCACTGTACGTAGCGTAAGCATGGAGAAAGAGAGAGAGGAGGAGGCACACTGCTCCTCTGTACTCCATTTCTCTTCTCACCTTTTGACATCTGTCCTCTCTTCATTTGCTCCCATTCATTGCATCTCCCCCTCTCTCTCTCTCTATATATAAATTCTCTCCCTTTCTATTTCTCTCTCTCCCTCTCTCCCAATCCCAAACAATCATCTACTTACATAACAACACATACATATAGAGAGAGAGAGAAAGAAGAGAGAGAGAGAGATGGGTCCATAGTCCTCTCTCTTCTGCATATATTCAAATTCAAAGCTTTTTCGTCTTGGACACGATCCGGTTCTGCCGCCTCTCTCTCGCTCTATCTCTCTCTACAAATCCATGGAAATGGAGGACCAGTACGGTATACCCGATCTCAGGCAATACATGAACGCAAGGAATCATTTTCCGGCGATCCCACCACCTCCAGACCTCTTCTCCGGCCACCGTAATCTGACTGAAACCCACCACCACCACCACCACCCCTACGACATGGTCATGGTGCCTCGAAGCCTTCATCATCACGAGTTTCCCTCTGATTCCACCACCACCACTGCAGCCGCCGCCAGCGTAGAGATGGAGGTTGGCGGAGGAGGAGGAGGCTTTGGAGTCGACGGTGGTGGAACTGGAAGGTGGCCTAGACAAGAGACTCTCACTCTTCTTGAAGTCAGATCTAAGCTTGATTCTAAGTTCAAAGAGGCTAATCAAAAAGGTCCTTTGTGGGATGAAGTCTCCAGGTACTCTCTCTCTCTCTCTCATGTTCCAAGAAAATTTGAGGTAATACCTATTGGGTTTTGAGGTAGAGAGAAGTGTGTTTTTGGGTTTGTTGAGATATGATTTATATCTCAGATTCTTTCTCATCATCGTATCTTTGTTTGTGTTTATCATTGTTTATATTTATCCTTTCATATAAAGTATATAAATATAATAGAATATGTAATACAAAATATTCATTGAACTGATCAATATACAGAAAATTGTTCCAAGTGAGTTGTTTTGTGGGCAATGGATTTCTAGACAGATTATGGTCTTGATTTTACCAATTTTGTGTTAGAAAATGACATCACAGTGAAGTTTCAGTTACAGTCTCAGGTGTTATTTTCTTCTTTACGACTTTTCTTTTCCTTGTTTTATGCAACAAAATTGACTGATTAATCATACTTGTATGGATTCTCCTCAAGCTGATCACTCTATTTTGTTTTTGAAAATGGATAAAACTTTTTTTGGCTAAAAGAATGGCTTACCAATTCAATGATTAACTACCCATTTGCTGCTTTTGTTTGATGAAAAGACATGTATAAGCAGCAACCCTTCCCAAAAAAAAGAAAAGAAAAAACCAACCTTGTTTAGGAACTTGAATGTTGAATGGTCATATTCCAAAATTAGGTCAGTCTCACCAAGCTTTTAAATAGCACTAGAGTAAGTTGGAGGATTTTAAAATATTACTCCTAAATTTATTCACACTGACACAATAGAATATTAAATTTTAATTGATTGATTTTTAAACCAATTAATAACCATTCACCTAATTAAAATAAATATAGGAGCAATGATTTTAGAATTCGGAGTATTTTATTATAGCAACAATAGAAGACAAATCAATATTGATTTGGATGTAAACTATAATGAACTTATTGAGTGATGGGTAATGATAAGAGGCGAATCACTATTGGTTACAATCTAAACTGCATTAAAAGTATCGAGTGGGCGTATCGAGAGTGCAGTCATATTATTATTTGCATAATTTAAATTAGGGTTCTCTTATATTTCTTCATCTTTATATTATGTCATCAAGTTTCATCATTTCCCCTAAAATCAATTAGTGCTATGGATTTCACTTGTCTTTTTATGGCATTTGATATCGTGCCTGCAAATATTTTTTTAGAGTAATCTTAGGAAGTAACATTGTGTACTAACTATCCCTCCCTCACAATGATGCTCCAGCAATTCGAACTTATGACAACTTGACTATGATACCACTTGTCAGGCCACGTTCAACTAGCTATCCTAAAACTATTAGTTTTAGGCAGTGTTTTACTTATATCTTTTATGACATTTAATATTATGTCGTGTGACCCTGTTTTTGTAGCAGTTGTAGTGAGCGGCATTTTGTAACAACAAATTTTATATATATATTTTTTGATTTTTACCAATTTGTAGGATAATGTCTGAGGAACATGGGTATCAAAGAAGTGGCAAAAAATGCAGAGAAAAATTTGAAAATTTGTACAAGTATTACAAGAAGACAAAGGAAGGTAAGGCTGGTAGGCAAGATGGCAAACACTACAGATTCTTTCGGCAACTTGATGCTCTCTATGGTGATAATAATACCACCCAACCAGTTTCAGCCTCAGAAACCCACCTTGTAGGAAACAATTTTGAATTCCACAATGCAACCAACAACAATGCACAAGCAAACCAAGAATGCTTTCAGGCTCCAAAGCTCTGTGATAGCCTCAGCCTCTCAAACTCCTCTGAATTCGATTCTTCTTCCTCAGATGATGACAACAATTCGATGGAGAAGAAGAAGAAGAGAAGAGGTAGAAGGAGCTGGAAGGCAAAGATAAGAGACTTCATTGACTCTCAGATGAGGAAGCTAATGGAGAAACAAGAGGAATTGCTGGAGAAGATGATGAAGACACTCGAACGAAAGGAACAAGAGAGGATGTCGAGAGAGGAAGAGTGGCGGGCGCAAGAGGCGGCTAGGATTGAGAGAGAGCACAAGTTTTGGGCTAACGAGCGAGCGTGGATCGAAGCTCGCGATGCCGCTTTAATGGAGACTTTGCAGAAGGTTGCAGGAAAAGAAGTGAAAGTTTCATCTCAACTTCAAGAGGAGCTAATTGGAGCTGAGCTTCAAAGCCTTGGCGAAAACCTGAATGAGAATGGAAGTGAAACAATTACCAGCTGGCCTGAATGTGAGATTACAAAGCTAATGCAATTGAGAAACAGCATGGAATCAAGGTTTCAACAAAGTAGTTGTTCAGAGGATGTTCTTTGGGAGGGAATAGCAGCCAAGATGTCATATTTGGGGTATGATAGGAGTGGTTTGATGTGCAAAGACAAGTGGGATAGCATTAATTGTTTAAGGGAAAGAAAAGACTGTAACAAGAAAAGGAAAGAGAATTCAAAGAGCTGTTGTTACTTTCAGAATAGTGAATCAGTAGTACACAATCAAGGAAGAGCCTATATTGAAACCAATGAACAAGGGCCAGAAATAACAACAACAAGGGTTGGGTCCAATGATGGCAATGCCACCATGCATGATAGCTGCTTGAGGTTCTTGGTTGGTATTGATGGGGACAACATGTGGGACAATTATGGTTTGAAGCTTAGCAAGGGAGAGAATCACTAATCAAGTTAACTTGTTGCACCATGGGTTCAAATAACAGTATTGGGTTTGTATATAGACAATATCCACTGATATATCAGTGAATATTGGTATTGAAAATCTGAAATCCTGATACGAACTGGATATTCAAAAACAAGTTGGGGAGAGGAAGTGATGACTTTATCAAAGGTAAGAGATTTGACTGAGTTTCCATTAGATGGGATGGTGACTAATGTGTGTTTTGTGCAGGTAGCTAACTGGTGGTTTAGGGTTCTATGTATAGGCATTGGTGTTTCATTTCATGGGTTTAATAGATGATAGAGACATTAAGGTAAACAAATGGGTGTTTTATTTAATTCTTCTTTTTTTGTGGAGTTCAATGGGAAATGGTGGTTGTAGTGTTGTTGCTCTTGGATGTTGTTGGTTAATTGTCATCCCATTCTTTTTATGAACTTATCTTTTCATGCTTAATCCTCCATTAAGCATGCAATTGGTATAAACATGGTGTTTCTCATTGTCTCATCACTGTGTATGGATTTTTTTGTACAAAAATTTTGATTAGCATTAGTCTTATAAGATATAAAACAGATTTATGTCAAACTTCAGATATGAAATTGTAGGAAACTTAGAGCACATACTATAGGGATTGAATCCTTTGTCTGATGTTTGGAGGCTTACTTTCATGTGATTTAATGATTGGAAAGACATGAATTCGAGTCTTTAGGGGGAAGCTAGGGGGTGAGATTTGTACCCAACTAGATTGGCAACAAGAAATCAACCCATTTATTTGCTAGCATCATACACAGTTGTTAAGGCACCAAGAAACTTGCCCGTTCTAGGATACTAGTTCGTTGTCACTACGTTCTCAGTGGAATTGGGTAAACCTATGACTCGTTGATAGAGCATTTGTGAACCTACCATGTTTGGTACCTACATGTTGTTGGTACACTTTGGTTTAGGTATCCATTAAAGATTGTTTCCAAAACAAAGTAATTACAATGACAAAATTTCCTTATTATAATGTAAATAGTGTTCTTATAATATGATTTGGGAAGAGATATGGAATAACGGTATGATCTCCAACCACTACTATTTTGCTCATACAGCTAACAGTTCATTGTAAAGTACTTAATTTTTTCACTAATTACATTATGTGGAGTAGTTATTTCGTGTCATTGATGACATTAACGTAACAATATCACAAAGACATTATATTCCTTGATTTTTGTGAAACTAGCATGCGATCCACATGTGTTCCACATAAATCAAGAGTTGGGAGAGTCAAGTTGTGTTTGTGGTATTGCCACCAGTGATACCGAATAATTTGTATTTGAAGCGAGCTATAATACGAAGGGCAATACCTGTGCACATTTCCCTAGAATTCCTACATACTAGAGAGTTACGCAAATACTACATACTGAGATTTACAGCGCTCTTTCAGAATGGACTTGAGCTATAACTTAACCCCAATTCAAGAAATTAGTGGCTAAGTATTTTTTATTTATTTATTTATTAAATCATGGTGATATGAGAAAAATTTATCAACAATCCAAAAGCAAGAGGAGGTAAAAAAAACTTTATCTCTCATGGATTTAGGAAAATTATTATATATTTTTGGACTACGTTGTGGTATTGTTTACGTGATAACTGTGGGTCATCTTTTGTCTCATGATTATTTGACAGAGATTAGTTAGCAATGCATATCCTACTCGTAAAATTTTCTAGTATGTGATTTTTTTCCCCTCCCCGAATGGCAAACAAGAGACTTTATTGATGTATGAAAAGAGTACATGGTACCAAACCAAAACACCAATAAAGAGAGAGAAGTGCAAAAGTATTACAATGGACTAAATGATCCCAACTAGATTGGCATCAAAGAGCCCATCCTATCATTTGCTAGCACCTCCAAAGTTGGTGAAGAACTAACCAAAGAAACAAAAACAATCACCACAACAACACACTCTAACAACTAGCATATCAGACCAGATACAAAGCCCATAGTATAGCATAACAAAAACAGAAACCAGTAACAAAACAAACTACCAGCAGACTTAGCCACCATACCCACAGAGCTGCAAACAGAACAGATACAAGGCTAGACCAACTCAAAGAGAAAGAACCACAGCAAGAAACACCAAGAGCCAGAGCCAGACCATAAATAGCTGTTGCTGCACACCAGAAGAAATGGTTGACATTGTAAATTACAAACACCTCAAAAGTCTCCACCAAAACAGGAAACAAATTTTAAAGCACCAGAAAACAGATCTCCTAGATCCTTCCACCTAAACAATATCTGATTGTTAAATGTTATTAAGGAAGTCATCAATCGAGAATGAAGTCCCATTGATTGCAACTTTATACCAGATAGCAATTCTTGTAATGATGAGCTCCTGCAATTCCTACATCTTTGGTTGAGAGCCTTGAAAGAGGTACTCATTTTTGTGCTTCCAAATTGACAAAAGAGCCACCAGAGGAATTGCACTCCAAATTCTTCTTCCAATTGACCTGCAGCAGTGCCCTGATCACCAGTCGAACAAACCTTGTACAGATCTAGGTACCACCTAAATAACCTCCTACCACTGCAACAAACCAGACCAAATTCTCCACACCAAGGGATAGAGGAGAAGCACATGTTTAGATGTTTCGAGATGAGCTTTACAGAAAATACATAAGGTAAAAGCATTTCGATCCAGAATTCCTAGCCTATGCAAGAACACTGAAGTTTTTACCTTATTTCTCCATGCTAGCCATCCAAGAATTGCACTTTGGGTGGAAGATATTTGATCCACACCATACTACTGTATCTGACATTACCACCAAAATCGAGATTGGTATGTTTGTAAAAAACAGATACAAGAGATTGGCCAGATTTTTGAGCTAACCACACTGCACTATCCTTGACTGCCAGATTCAAAACAGGAGCTGCTTGCAAGATTTCAATGAGTCTAAAAAGTTCCTCATTTTCTCATTCAAATAAGGGTCTTCTACAATTGAGTAACCAATTTTGTGAGAAGGCTGTGTTGACCACTAGGTCCTTAAGAGAGCTCTCTTTTTCATTAGACAGTACATGACTAATTTGTATAATACTTTGAGAATATCTAATAATTTTCCAATATGATACAAGAAAAAATGCATGCAAAAGAAAAACAGGTCTAAAGTCTTGAGATTTTTAATCAATCTAGAAAGTTTATATTAAAGCATCTAACTCAAAACTAATTAAAAATTAATATACAAACATACATTTTAAGTATATTAATCAATTTCAATATGGTAAGAGAAAATATGAGACAAGTTTAACAATTCTATCACTAAATCTTTGTCATTGAGCGTCACCTCTACAAACTCAAAATACATATGCTCCTAACCCTTGGGTGGTGAAAGAGAGAGTTGTTAATCTTCCTAATATTTGACTTAAGAGTTGATTACTGAAGAATCCAGTAGCCTAAGTATTCCATGTAATCAAGGAACACATCTATGAAATTTCTAGTTGATTCGAAAATCTAAATTTGTTTGAAGTACAAAAAATTCCAAGAGGATGATCCAATCGCAAAAGTAACTAGGAAAAAATTAAAATTAAAAGTTCCAATCCTATTTATGCTTAAAACATCTGTAACATGGTCAACAAGAGAAAGGGAGAGTAATATGAGGGAAAATTGAAGGTTGTGTTTGGTTTAAGGATTTGCGAAAGAATTTGAAAAAAAGTATAAAATGTAATTATATTTTATTTACATTTTATCTATATTTTTTTTCCCTTTTCTAAACCCCTACTCAAAATTCATCAACCAAACATAGTGTAAAGGTGACCTAAAAAAATTGTACTTTCCACAATAATTATTAAATAATTATAATATAAAATTTAATATTGTGTTTAGATCGTAAATTTAAATAATAATTTAAAAAGAGAAAGAAAAATATAAATTACAAATTTTTTTCTCCATTTCTCTTGACATTTGTTTTTTCTTTTCAAATATTTATCTAAATTTATGATCCAAATGCAATCTAAAATGACCAATTAGTCAAGACCCAAAAAATGAGTCCAAAATTTTTTGCTCAGAATGCATGTGTGGTGGTGATTTATTAAGTGTATTATGAGATTTATAGATAGAATAAGTCTGAACTCTGACATTGAAAACTCAATATAATTTCTGAATTTGTGCATCACTGAATAGTGACCTAAAGAAATGAAAAATAAAACTTGAGATCTTTTACTCAGCAAAGATACTTGACAACCATTGATCACTTAAAGATTAACAAGCTCATTGGGATTACATGATCAAGAAGGCATCTATGCAACCCTGGTCTTGAATCAGAAGTTCAGTAAGTACTTTTTTCCATCAGCATGTCTATATATATATACACTATCCACTATGCATGCACATTACTCCTCAGAGCAGACAAGGTCTGCTGAACTTTAGGAAAGAGTAATGAAGCTTCACTCCCTATAACAACCAAACAAACAGTCTCAATCACAATGGAAATGGATATTATTGCTTAGTGCTCTCTCTCTCTCTCTCTCTCTCTCGACCTTCCTTCCTGCATGAATTCTCTGAAACCAGCTTTGTAAGTTGATGGTCCCAAGACCCCAACCCCCAAAAGACCTGTATACAGTTTTAGTCATTTGCAGTCAAAGCAAACCAAATCACTGAGGATGATAAAACAGTTTGGAAATCTGAATTTTAAAAGTTTCCAGCTTTTTATTTATTTATTTTATACATATGTTTTTGGGTGATGCAATTGATTTGACAAGCTACTGAGCCAACTAATAAATCTGTCAAATGCCTTTCCTCTAAGTGATCAGTATATGTGTACTCAGTATCCCAAATCAGAAACTCGGACTTCGTTTAAATTAGTTTTGGCCCGAAATAGTGTACATCAGCCTCCCCTAAGTTGTGCTTTTCCGCCTGAGCAAAATATTGAGACATTTCTTCGAGTTTAAGAAAAGTGGATGGCTAGAATTTGTGTGGTTTGAATGTGTTAAAGCGACGTTATTTTAAACTCAAAACGACGTCGTTTTGAATGTTTCGAGCCATTTGAGTTATGAATTTTCACCACTTAGCATTATTGCGAATTTAATCATAGGTTTTTTTCTTCTAATCTAAATTATTAATTTCTTATAAATTTAGTTATATAGGACGCAATTCATTTACCACGTTGTTGTGGATGAATTGTTGGTTATAAATTGTGTCTCTAACATTTTCATTTGGCAGCATATACAGTGAACTGGTAAATACATTTTTTAAATTTCTCTTTACATTCGTATGTACAAATATTTTTTTCACAAAGTATAAGTTTTATTATGCCAGAGATGAGTCTGAAGAGAAATTATGCAAATATATATAGCTACTAAATCACATATTTAATTGGCCTTCAAATAGCTTTATTTTTTGTTAGGGCATTTACACACAAGTCTGAATTTATAAATTTATACTGCATTAAGGCCTCGTTTGGGACCAGGTTTTTTTTAGTAATTTTTTTGATTTTTTTAGCTAAAATAATATGTTTGAGATGACTTTTTAATTTTTTTACGAAAAGATGTGCAAAAAATAAAGAGAAAAGAAATCTTTGACTTTTTTATATAGGTTGTTGGCTTTTTGATTTTTTTTAATGACTTTTAACTTTTAGGCTAAAAAGTGATATTGCGAAACGAGACCTAAGTCCTGACTACGCTTTTTTGGATTTTCAAGTCACTTTAAATTTTTAATAATCGGAATTACCCTTCAAATAATAATTGCTCATCATTTACGATTATCTATAAAAGAACATGATGATTTGACATTTATTTTAATTTTCAAAACTTTCAAATTAAAAAACTAAAAGAAATTTATGTGTTTTTTGGATTTTTTTTTTTTTTTGTGTGCAAAATTGAAAATTTTGTGTCTATAAAGGA